AACCACGGTAAATGACAATCCAATAATGCTCAGTCAAAAGACTCGAAAAAAGAGTCCATGAAAATACCACTCACCAGACCAATACTTCCTGTCCACCATCAAAGTGGGCGACATTACCCCAAAAAAGATGACCGCAACAAGCACAAGATACGGGAGGGAGGGCGGGAAGCAAGTTCAAGGCAATCCAGAAGTGCAAGTATTTTATGCACAGTTCCACACTTTTTTTAAGATGGATCTTTCTCACAGTTTCTGGCAGCAAGTTCTAACGCAGATGTGAGCATTTAGTTAGGCCCATGTACATGAGTCCTATGGGCCAACTTTTGATTATTGGAAAACTACAACGGGGTTTGGTCGTTTATTTTTAAATAGTATAACTTTGCAAACCATGTGTTTATATATATATTTTTTATTTTACAATTAAACATTTTAGAAGATGTCCTTTCATAACACTTAGGCTGGAATCACACCATTTCCCATACCAGATCTGGAATGCAATGCATTGCATTTTTGCCGTGATTTTACCACAATTTTGCTGCGTGCCGGAGCTGTTGTTTTTTTTTTTAGCTTAAAATTGGCTCTCGTGTGCGTTCCAGTGCGTTCCATGCATTTTTGATGAGTTTCTATGCGTTCCAGTGCATTCCAGGCCAGACAAAATGAGACATGTAGTATTTTCTGGTCTGGTCTGGACAGACTGCACTGTTGTGAATAGAGGCCAGAAATAGCATAGGGATACATTAGGATGCATTTTGGGTCTGGAAACAATCTGGTCTGGTCTGCAAATGATCTGGATGTGGTGTGAATGGGCCCTTACGGGTATATTTATCAACATTCTCACCCAAGATTCACCCATTTCTTTCTTATAGTCAGAAACATTGATTCATTTGGGGTGTAAATCTTAGGTAAGAACAATGATAAACAAAGCCCTTAGTCTGATAAAACACCACCTCTGCGCTTTTTTGACTACTCTGACATTGAGGGAAAAACCTGAGAAATTATACATCAATAAATACCTGACAGACAATTTAATCCTTCCCTCTATACAAAATGTGTTGGCTTGAGCTGGAGTTTTATAATTTTTCACATTTTTAAAAATGTCTTTATTGAATGAACAATATAAGACTAGTCTACAAAACATACAAAGGGAATGATCCATGGGAAACAATATAACATTCATAACAATATTGTATGTCATAGCATTGTAATGCATATTTCGTTCTAAACCTATCAACATAGGCAATACTAAGAAAACCAAGAGGCAAATATAGTACAACAAGCTATGAGCAATATACAGAATCCAGCAAATAGGATCAGGGCCCCTATGGGGCCTAGTCTGGTTTGAAGTCAGAGGAAGGCGAGAGTAGATAAAGGCCAAGCCTACCTCAGGAGCGGAAGCGTGAGTGAAGAGGAAAAAAAGTATAGTTCACAAAACGAAAAAAAAAAGATAGAAATAAGAAAAGAAGGAAATTACAGGGAAACCTCTAAGCGAAAAAGGAGAGAGAAGGGAAAACAGAGGGGATGAGGAGGGGATCCCACTCCGAGAGGAAGTTGCATCCCACAACCACCATATGAGCTTGACTAAGTTCACTAAAGGTCTGTATAGTGAAGACATCTTTCTGTGGCCGATGAGGCATCAAGAAGTCATTAAAGCTATTGGTCAGTGGATCTAAAGAAAATCGCCAAGTAGAGTAAAATCTTTCTTCAGAGAAGCTGTGAGGTCTTCTATATGGTTTTTCACAATTAAAAAAAAATGCTGACAATGTTTGACACACAAAAAAGTGCTATTCTCTCCCCTGCCCCAAAAATAAGATCAGCTGGGTAAAATAAAAAAAACAGAATGTCAAAGTATAATTTCCAAAAACCTGAAATATGCTCTAGCCAATAAAGAATTTATTGAATTAAGATGATAAGCTAAAACCTGTTGTGTTAACAGTAGATGAAAGGAACACCTCCATTAATATGGAATGTTACACAGTGCGGCCATATAATTTATTTCAGGTACTAGTGTGACATCTAGAGGTCATAATTGGTATTGTATCACATGTCTAGTTGCTGATATACTGCATACTGTGTGGGGAATTTATCGAAACTGGACCAGAGAAAATCTGCAGCAGTTGTGGATAGCAACCAATTGGCTTCTCTCTTTCATTTTCAAATCCTAACTGAACAAACTGAAAAGAGAAGCTGAATGGTTGCCCTGGGCAACTGTTCCAGATTTTGTTAGCTCCAATTCCACTCTGTATGTTTATAATTTTAGGTACAATGAACTAAGAATGCAGAGGGAAGTACTGTGAGGGTAACTAAAAATAGCACTTCGAACACTTTTCTGCTTTTCTGGTTGTCTCAGAAAGTCCTGCCCTAAGTTCAGTTCTAATGCTATAACCGCCATGTGCGGCAATTCCAGGTTGTCCATATTAGTGATACACATTAGTGATTTACATTATGTCACAATGACTAGGACGAGTTCACAATGATTAGGACAAGTTCACAAAGAAATACCACCATTTCTGCGATGAGCAAACTGGCGGTAAAAAAGAGCTATTTTATCTTTGGTGTAATTTGGTCCCCCTCAGCAGCCCGGTCACCTGCACCCTAGCAACCAATGGTGCTGCACAGTGAGGCTGCCAGCATCCTAACAACCAACAATGCTGTGCAGCTGCGTGTCACTGGTTACTAGGACGTTGGTGGACTTGCTGTACAGTGTCATTGGTTCCTGGTGAACATTATCACTAAAACAGAAAGAAAATCCCAGATTTTGAGTTGTCGCCAGGACAGGAATAGATGGGAAATCTTCAAATTGTGACACTAGTTCTAGTAACCCTGCTGATCGTCAGAGGTTTTCCCTCTCTTTGGAAGGAATTCCTCCCATTTCCTGTTGGGGCTTTCGGACAGGAAGTAAAGGATGTCGGGGAAAATATAAATTTGGAATGCAGGTGCAAATCACCTGCTATCACCATTAACCAGTGGGCTCAAATTATGATACAATAACGCGATATTGGAGACCAACACACACAAACATCAAAGTCTACTATAAGCTGGTCTGATTAATTACGGTGCGTTAGGCTAGGTTCACACTGCAGCAACACCCGGGACGCGCGATCGTGTGCTAGTGCACACAATGGTTGCCGTACGGCAATCACAAAAAAAAGGTACAAGTTCCTTTTTTACGACACGCGTGTTCAATTGCATGGAATACAGATGGCAAAACGAAAAAAAAAAGCTAACAGCAGTTATCTAACCCTCTCAAACAAAGAAAAGTTTGGGCTTCAGTTGTACTTTACGGATTGAGCACTCAGGTTGTATTGAAGATGTGTCACTTGCTGTCCCCTGGCTACAGTCACGGATGGGTGTGAATAGGGCCTTTGACATTTTTTTTTAAGCAAGGATGAAGGATTTTTATCAAAGATGTGTCACTGGCTGTGCTCATGGTTATGTGTGTGAATGGGGCCTTTGCCATTTTTTTTATTTTTTTATTAACGACTGAGTTCTCAGGTTCTTATGAAGGTGAGTCACATGCTGTCATACAATCTCTGGCAAAGTAAAGTTGAATTGTGAAATCTGGCACTTCTTCTCTCGTCTCCCTCCTCCCCCCCTTTCACCAATCCATTTCACTCTGGACTCCTGTCTCTAGTCACCTATCAGAGCTGCAATCTAGTAGCATTTCTCGAACTTTGTCTACATCAGAACAGTTAGGTAGTCATAAACACTAGAGAAAATAAAAGTGTTGATAAATCAATGACTAAGAGATCAGCAGAGGTGACCTTAGAGAGAAGAGGAGACTGGAATCACAATTGAACAACCGAGAGCCTGGGACAAGGACGCATATACCAGACTGGCTGGAGGAAATCTGCCTGTTGTGAGCTGCATTGGATGGTATTTACTATTCACAAACCTTTGTCTTTAATACAAAGCACCAACATATTACACAATTACATATGCTTTGACTGATTTATTGTTAGGATTACAATATAAGTGAATATATTTGCAGCACTGTATGAACAGTCAACCTATTCTGAGTGTATTTATATTATTTATTATTATCTTTATATTATTCATTTACTAGAGAGTTTCACTAATATGTAACTGTTATTTCTATCAACTCTGCTACTACAACAACAACTGATGTTTAGTAGAATTTAAAGTAAGGGCCGATTCACACCTGATGTGTTTGGTCTGCACTGGTCGCCTTTTTCCAATGCAGCCCTAACGCACTGACAAGGCAATAGCCTTGTTTGCAACTGTCTCAGTCCACATCTACACATTGCAGTGGTATGCGCTGAAAAAAGTAAAGCATGCTTGTATTTCAGCGCAGCTTGAAGCGACGCAGTACTGTGGTTGTAGAACTGAATGAAATGTCATTTGTGACATTTCAAAAAAGTAAAACAAAAACAAAAAACAGTGTGATGCGTCGGCATCGGCACATCTGCACTGTTTTGTCATTGCACACCAGTGTCCATGACTTTACCGTGGCTTGATGGTGAGAACCAAGCTTAAACCTTTCCTTAAGCTCAGGTTTACATCTGTGTTCGCTGTGTCTGTTTTTAGTGCCTTTTATACCATGAGTTGTATTTCCCTATAGACACTAAATCACAGTGCATTAAAACGCACAGACAAATGGGCATGTCTCATTTTTCAAAATGCAACGCTCATTGGTTATTGTTCCTATGACACACAGGGCCAGATTTCCCACAAGTTCAACCGAGGCCCAGCCTCGGGGCAGCAGGGAGCAGAGGGGCAGCAGGGGTGTGGAATTACCATCTCCTGACGCCCGGGACATGCAGTTCTGGGCACCTGGTGGGTAGTTGTTTTCTACATTTAGCCCTGCTTTGGGCAAGCAAGTCTAAATGTACAGCAGGGGAAGCCGCTGCTTGTTTTGTACAAGTTATCTCGGCAATGTCGTCGAGATCACTTGTCTGCAGCCTGCATACAGAGGGGCGCATTGAGTAACCTGGCCTTGGGGCAGCAGAGGGAGTAAATCTGGCCCTGATGACACATATATTGTTTTGCATTCCAACGCACAGGAGTGAACAGCGCCTAAAGAAAATGCTAGTTGTCCAGCTGTTATACTGATCCAGTGGCATCCGTATCTTGTGATCCACTGATCCAGAACATGTATGAAGACTGAGAAAGTCAGAAGACCTTTTCTGCTTGGTTTCTCCAGTTTATTGACCTGAAGTATTGAAGAGAGAGAGTGTCTGAATGACAGCCAGGCAATTAGCATTTTGCAGAATAGGAAGTTTTATACAAGATCTCAGATGAAAATTATTAGTGTATGCAATCCTACAAACTTCATAAACAGCGGACTTGCTTATTCTGGGCTCTTCCAAAGTCTTCGCTTCACCTGTAGACGAAACGGCAAATACAGGTGAGTGGCAAGTAAACAGTCTGTTTGTACAGCGTATTATCATGATCCTTCATGCATTAACATTATCAAGTTCTGAAATACAATCTCATAATGCAGCTGCATTGACCGGACCAGGAAGTCTGTGAAGACATTTGTAAATATGTGCTTGGACATATTAAATGGCAAGTGATACTGAATTAACCCCTTCATGACTGAGCTAGTTTTTAGTTTCTGTTCCTAAATGAACTTGTTCAATCCTTTGCCTTCTCTAACCACAGGGCACATAACTCCTCTGTGCTTGTTTCCCAACTCCGACTGCCTTGGATACAATGTTGAGAATCATTTGAGCCATGTTTATTTCCTTAGTATATCCTCAAAACCACCCCAGCCAATCTTTATATGCCTATTCAGTTGCAACAAAACAGAATCAGCAGTATGTCATTTTCATTCAGTGTGGAGAGTAGTGATAAGCCGAACACCCCTGTGTTCGGTTTGTATTCGAACATTCGAACTGCCGAAAAGTTTGAATACGAACTCAAACTCAATGCAAGTCAATGGGGTTCGAATGTTCGAAAATGAATGTCCCCTTTAAGAGGGCTTATATGAAAGTTATTGGCCATAAATGGTGTATGTGGGTCTGGGTACTGCTCTGGGGACAGGAATCAATGCCAAAAAAACAAAAAAAATATACCGTTTTTAAAGGAGCACTGCTTTTAGCATTACTGTAGGATGTATAGAACCTGCTGCAGCAAAACTGACATTTCTAAAAAACAAAAATTAATTCCCCCCCCCCCCTCTTAAAGTGTGCAGTTCCCCCTCCCAAACAATACCAGACACTTTAGGTCTGGTAGAAATGTTGGGAGGGACCAATTTAAAAAAAACAAAACATGTAGTGTTCCTCCTAAAAGTCATACCAGGCCCTTAAGATCTGGTAGGAATATTAAGGAGGGACCCCATGTAACAAAACAAAACAAAAAGTGTGTGGGGTTCCCCCTAAAAGTCATACCAGGCCCTTAAGATCTGGTAGGAATATTTAGGAGGGACCACATGTAACAAAAAAAAGTGTGTGGGGTTCCCCCTTAAAGTCCTACCAGGCTCTTAAGGTCTGGTAGGACTTTAAGGAGGAACCCCACCCCCAAAAAGGGGGGGGGGGGAAACATGGGGTCCCCCCCTAAAATTCCATACCAGACCCTTGATCCGAGGATAGGCCTGGCAGGGGAGGGGAGGGACGAGCGAGCGCCCCCCCTCCCTACCACACCAGGCCACATGCCCTCGGCACTGGGAGGGTGTCCACGTGCCAATGGGGACAAGGGTCTTGTCCCCACAACCCTGACCCGGTTGTTGTGGGGGTCTGCGGGCAAGGGGGCTTATTTTCATCGGGGTACCCCTTTAATTAAGGGGTTAATTAATTAAATAATTAATTAATTAATTAAGCCGCCCCCCTCCCTTGTGAATGAGTAAGGGGCATTTGTACCTCTACCCATTTACTAAAGGGTTAAATCAAATAGTTATTAAAAAAGTCCAGACTTTTGATAAAATCCTTTATTTGGAAAAAAAAAACAAAAGACATGTTTTTGACGAGTTTTTTATTTAAAAAAAAAATGGATCCAATGACGTAATCCAAGGTCAATCACGGCGTCCAGCGTTGTCCACGATGACGACGAAATAAAAAATAAAACAATAAAAAATAAAGAGAAATAATAAAATAAAACAAACCCGCTGGCCGCTGTCCCGTCCGCTCCCGCCGCATAATGGCATTTTGACAGATGCCGGCAATGCATACACAATTGGGCGGAGCTAGCGTTGACAGCTAGCTCCGCTCAATTGTGTAGTTTACCGTCATCAGGCTGGCCATGATTGGGCAGAATCATCATGACTTTGCCCAATCATGGTTCTAATTCAATACTAAGCCCTGATTGGGCAAAGTCTGGCACCTGACCTGTGGTCAGGTGCCAGACTTTAACCAATCAGAGCTTCGGAGGGCATTTTGCCTTATGGAATGTCCGCGCTCAAACAAACCGCGAAGATCCCATAAAGTTCGGCGTTCAGTGAACGCTCGAACTGCCGATGTTCGATTCAAAAAGTATTTCAGGCAGGGCTTGACCCTTTCGCTGCCACCAACATATGTTATATGTCGGTGGCAGTGGGCTTGTTTAAACAGCCTGTTTACATTTGTAAAGCTGGCTGCTCAGCAGCCGCCAGAACGCTTCCATGGGCCGGAACAGAACCCCCCGCGCGTGCCTGACACCCCTGCCAACGACGATCACGCTACACATGGGCCAATACTTACACATATCGCTAAGCTGATGACCTGTAGGGGCTCTTAAAGCATTGCCCGTGGAAATTTGGGGTACTGAATTGTGTCGCCGTTTTACGAACGCACGCAATTTTTAACCTGGGCATGTTGAGTATCTATTTACGCGTTGTAACATCATCATTTATATTTTACCAAAAAATGGGTATTATATTGTGTTTTGGGGCAATAAAATTAACTTAAGTGCATTTTTTACTAAATGTTTGGGTTTGATAAAGAGTTGCACTAATATAGTGCAACATAAAAATTTGCAACTGACACTAGTTTGTTCTACAGAGTCGTTGCTTTCATAAAATATAAAATGTTTGGGGGTTTTAAGTAATTTTCAGGCCTAACATGTGTATTATAACAAGTGTGCAAAAAAAAAAAAGCAAAAAAGGCCTTGGCAGTGAAAGGGTTAACATGGGGCTACCACAGCACCAGCTCCAGGACCACCACTGAGAATAGGCCCAGCCAGCCTGGATTGCCTTGTGCTTCATCCCTGTTCTCCCCTCTGCGCGATCATGGCCTTTTACGACTCCCTGACGCCCCCCAACTACAGAGTTGCCCACGTGTGTGCCAAGCGGCAGGCCCCACCTCCCCAGGCATTACCCAAGCATGCTGATTAGCAGTGGAGTGGGGCCTGTAGCCAGGGCTCGGAGATTTTGTGCTTGTATTTGATCCGTACAGTAAGTGCTTGTGCCAGCTGCCCCAGTCCGCATGGAGAAAGTCAACCAAGTGCCACTGGCCAGATGGGCTGCCACCTCTAGCGGAGACACCGGGCTCACTGGACTCCTCCTGTACTGGCTGCTCTGGGGGTGAGAGGAGGAGTCCTTTGTTATTGCTGTAAAAGGAGAGTGACTGCTGGAGAGCCACTGTTACTGTAGGGGCCAGAGAGGGGGAAGCTGGGGAAAGAAGGCGAGCCCTGAAAGATGGGTGCTATGGGGTGCTATGGGGGTCTTGAGGCATTGGGGTTTTTTATGGGATCCTTAGTTATAAGGGGTATGTTATGGGGGTCATGAGGTATGAGGGGAGAGTTATGGGGGTCCTGAGGTATCAGGGGTATATTGTATGAATCCTGAGGGATAAAGGGAGTGTTATGGGGGTCCTTATTCAGAAGGGATGTTTTATGGGGTTACCTAGGCATGAGGGGAGTGTTATGAGGTTCCTTAGGTATAAGGGAAGCATTATGGGGGTCCTTAAATAGGGAGGGGGGGTGTTACTGGGGTCCTACAG